TTTTAGATGTACAACACCTGTAATTCATATTAATAAAGCTACTTCGATGTCAACAACGTACTAAAGAAGTTATTTTAATGTATATTTTCTCCGTACTAAATGTTGTGTTTTAACACTAACTCACAGGAGGCCCACCTAGACAATAACTACAGCCAAGATAGCATTACAAGGAAACCACCTTAGGGATGAAAATAATTTAATTTCAAGCAGTTTGAGAAATTGTTTGGATAGTTGTCGCATATATATTTCAAGCGCTCCCTTGAGACACTAATTGATTTGTTTGGCTATAACTTCGCGTTTTTAATTTTTTTCAATTTAAAATGCGAAGTCATCTCTTAATTGCAAAGATCAACACAGACTATTGATTCAGAGATGTTTCAAAAGTAGTATGTACACCAACATGATCTACATTTTTCAGGTAGGAGTTTCTATTTTGACAACAATGATTTTGATAGAAAKTAATTTGTATAGAGTGTGGATTTTTATTATTGTGGTGTTTTTTTGTTTGTTTTTGTTTTTAAATTTTAGTCAACAAATAACGGAGTAATCGCAAATACATGTATTGATGCCAGCTAAACATACAGGTTGCTCCGCGAACTATGTTTTTTGGCTGATAATTGCAGTTTAATCATTGCCAATGAAAAAAAGTTAGCGTCACTTCCCTGTAAATGCTTAGAAAAATTCGGGAAGTTGAGACGAAAAGGAATGTTGACACAACAAGACTTTGTGTACTCTTTGTGTGCACGTTGGGCGACTATTGTAAGGACATTGACTTTTCATCCGGTCTAAAGTAATTAATCCGTTTTGTCGAGATACTTTCAAAGTTTCGAAGTCTCTCATTATATTAATGGCAAAAATTTAGAAATTGATTTTTCTGGCTGTACAGGAGGGATTAACAATGGAGTTTGGGTTTGGCAAGTTAGTTCTGACTGGAAACATGAGGCCTGRATAACCATAGAAGTTCCTATAATTCGCGTTTTTTAACCATAATAGACATATRCACGAGCCATTAAATGAATATTGGATATGCATGGTTCTCGGGATGTACATAGATGAAAGAGGGTGTCATCGAAAACCGCACCAAAATATTTAGTACCACAAAGTATTAGTGAATTACGGAGTTAAAAGCATATTTCAAACTGTAATCTCTTCTGTGACGAAATCGATGCATTTTGTACTTCTGGATTTCTGTATGGATGTCAAAACCTTAAACTCATCAATAAATGCTGATTTACGTGTTAACTTTTCGAAATGATTTTATCATTCACAACAAGTTCATTATAGTTCTATTTTAAGATAAGAATAATTTTAAAACTTCGACTTTTAGTAACGCCTAGTGAATTTATCAAATATGCAGTGAGTTGTCATAAAGGTATCAAAATTTGTAAAAAGATACATGAATCAAAAATCAAGTATCTGGCTAGAACAAAACTCCAAAGATAACAATTTTAATTCACAAATTGAAGACTGTTTCAATAAAACTAGAAAGTGGAATCAAGAAGAAAACTTCTCGCACTCTAGCTGTCTGCGCTTTTTGGATGTTCTCTGGGAAAGTGCTCGCGGGTTTACTAGAAAAGTCCTGTACATTGCGAATCTCGATACGAAGTGGAAAAAACAGCATAAGTCGTCTAAACAGAGAAGGGGCTAGACGGTTTGCTTAACCGCAGCCTCCACGGGGTGCCCAGATCACAATATCCGGTGGCACTGAAATTGTGTTTCTTCTTTTCCATTAATTAAATACAGTCAACTCTCGCTATTACGGACACCCTCGGGGTCGTCATTTAGTGTCCGCAGTAGTGAGAGTCAGTAATATTTTGCCGGGGATTCGTCAGTATTTCGTGTCTTAATATTGAGGTGTCCGTTATACCGGGTTGTCCGTAATGCGTTAGGTGACTGTAACTAGAAACTCCAAAACAACCAAAAAAGTTAA